AGAGCACTGGCTAACCCTCTAGTGAAAGCTGGCACGTTCAAAAAACAATTAGAGTAATTTTTCACCTTACCCTCTTAATTAATCACTGCGCTCTTTTACCCGAAGTGACTTGCAGCGCTTCTAATTTTACAGTTCGCCAGTTTTTGCAGCCAAGTTCAGGTTTAGTATTTGACCCAAGAAATTGAGGTTTAGTGCTTTGCTCAAGGGCACAACATGAGAACCTCAATCATTTTTGCATGCGCAAACTCAATAGAAATCCAGATCCTTGAAGCACGTAATGCTATTATACAGTATAATGGCTTAATGGCATTATCGCTTATTAAATAAATATCGAGGAGGACAAAACATTCACTAGTTCTAGTTTAGCTTTAGTTTTATTTGAAATGTGTTTTTAAAATGCATTCATTTTATATTTTCAGCTGTTTCGTGTTTTCTGGCTGTAGTACTCGTAGTGCTGAAGTAATGGGAAAAGTGTGTTGGTCTTTTTATTATACTACAATGGAGGCTGGCTGAAATGAAACAGAAAACTGGGTGTGTCACTACAAAGGAACAATCCCTCTATAGAAGTTACTGCACTGCGGCTAGATAAGACATGGCGATTGTAACTGCATGCTGGAAACGCGATAATACAGGCAAGGAAAGAGAAGTTCTGAAGGCAGGCCTTGGGATAACTGGTACACCTGATAAATAATGCAGGCCTGGCGTGGCTCACATTCCGGCAGATTGCCCAACATCCAGTGTCTGACACCCACACTAATACATTACACTGAGATACTGACAGTATGACAAAGACACTTTCCCCACTGACCAATAAAATCATTATATGAATTACCACATATCTGGCATCTATAGATGGGGGCTTGTGTTTGTGTATTTATCAAACGTCAAGACAGCATGTGTAGCCTGTAGGAAATCATTTTCAGTTCATCAAGTTAACTTAGTTGGTCTGGACCCTCCGACCCAGTGTTGAAAAAAATCAATTGCTACTGATTTGTGAGAACAATTTAAAGTATTTCTCTGAGGATTTGTAGAAACTACTTAGCGACGAGGAACACAGTGAAAGTGTGAAAGACAATCCGGCCTCTAGAGGAATGGGGCGTCTGACTTAGTCCTGCCAGATTTCAGTAACAGTCAATGATGCAAAAAAATCATTTGTATTGACATTGATGGTACTCCTATTCCTGTCATAAAGAGAACAGCCGTGTGCTTCACCACTCTGTGCCTCAAACAAATATGATTGCCATTCCAACACTGTCTAAAGGAGTCCTGGCCTTTTGTTTAGCACAACTGGTTTTTCCAGCTCTTTGACAAGAAAAAGAAGACGGAGGAAATTCAGAGGAAAATGTCACTGAACAATCATATTATATTTCCTCCAACTGAAATTAGAACAGAAATGGCGTTCTTACAGAAGTACAGAAACATGCTCTCTTACTTTACAATTGGTTTACGGATCACGGTTTTCTGCTTTCTGCATATATTTTGTGGACTGAAAGTAGCACTAGAATTGTGCACACAGTAAGGTAATTCTATAACCTTATATCACACAAACAGGCATTCAAGATAAAAGGACCAGTCCATTAAGATACAGATCACATTCCAGTTTCAAGTTAAATCGAGGTCATCATGTCACTTTGGAGTCAGTTACACCCAAACGAATGTGACGCCAACGGCAACCTCATTGATAGCTGCCAGGCTGTAGAATCTGAATCTCAGCACCGAAGTGACTGGTGTTGCTGGCTTTGTCACAACCAGGAAAACAAACATGCAGCAGGTGTGTAATGGATATGCACCTTGCTGCGGGCATGTGAGACTTCAGGTTCCCACAATGACAGCTACTGCTACCTGCTATGCATAAAAAAAGGTGCAAAGATACCAGGATTGTGTCTGTGAGATCCTGATGCTCAGTGATCATTGGGTTGTCTGAGCTGACTGTCAGTCTATGAACTGAAAAGCATATGTTCCTGAATTCCTACAACTATGTCAGTAGTCACCAAAGTGTAGTAGCTGTGCACCTCTATGGAATGGATGTTTGTCTATCCTCCATGTTGAGAACTACATCAATAATGTACAGTTCTTGGCCTAGAAGCAGGCATCTGTCTTTGGCTACACTGCCAAAGATGTGCCATCCATTTTGGGCAATACATCTGCGCAACAGCAGATATAACAGTGGGTGTTCTACAAAGCTGGCTAGAAGATCCATGTTTGATGGACAGGCCAAACAATGTAGTTTCCACTGCACCGGTGCTATGCACATCATTCTACTCCATTACCTTAACATTCAGAAGAGAAAAGGGTCCATCTGGCGTCCATATTGGTGGAGATAGCGATCCATAGGCACTCTGCCAAAGTCATAACTACTGTTCATATAGCATTAAATGATTCTTTTCCTGAAAATCACTGAAAACATTTGACTCATTTAATATTGATCCCTGTAGGCAAACGGGGTGGTGAGTGGCTCAGCAGGTAGAGATGCTGTGCCTGTGATCAGAAGGTCGTTGGCTCAAGCCCCCAGCCTCAACAAAACAGTCACACGTCTGTGGGCCCTGGAGCAAGACCCTTAATGGCCAGCTCCAGGGTCAACCACATGATGGTTGACCCTGCACTGTGACCCCCCCCCCAAGCTATGAATAGCAAGATGGGTTAGGCAATCAGACAAATTCCTATGTACCTGTACTCATACTTGTGCAATGACCAATAAAGGATTGTTATTATTATTGTAGAAATTCTCTTTTCACCTGCCCCATCTTGCTCTCCATGTCACACAGAAACATATGTAGGTAACAGCAAGCTCAGCCAGGAGTGGCAGCTGCTTGTAATGGCACCCATGTAGGCGGGGGTCACGGGCCTTGCTCAAGGTCCAACAGACGAGTCTATTCTGCCAAAGCCGGGCTTGAAACGGCAACCTTCTGATCTTTCAAAAAGGAAGTGTGTCAAAATAGGGGTGAAGTCAGAAGAATTGTCTCATCAGACAATTAATGAATTACTAAATCAGGTGCATGGCAAACATAGTTTGAGGATCCATCTATCTATCAACAACCTATTTTAGGATAAAACCCAGCAGTCCATTACTGTGCATGTACACACACATAATGGCAAACTAAGAGGTACCAATAAGCCTAACTGCATGTCATCTTCCTAAGAGAGATCACACAGATCACACAGATACATACACTCACACACATTCTTGAAAAAAGGAAAAGAAGAAAAGTATGTTTTAAGTTCACCAATAAATCTAAAATAATAGACTCCTTCTACAGTTTAATGGTCTAGTGAGCAAACTACTAGATCGCTATTCATCTTCTGATACCTAGTTAAGATATTTAATCTTTGGTTCTTTACTGCTTGATCAAGTAACCTGAACTAAATTGCTTTTGACAGGATTAAAAAGGGAACATGTTACTGTACATAAAATTTTTGTGTGGCTGTTATTTTTGGAGGAACCTATAAATATAATTTTGGTTAACTGACATAATAAACATCATTGTGTAATTGTGTAAAGTGGTTATTAATTTAATTTTACTTACGAGATTATCACTCTATCACATCCTTTCATCACGTTCCTGTTTGACCCAGACAGCTGTACTCTACTATCAATGCACATCGTCAGTTCATTGAGTGAACAGATACTGGATCACTTACGATTCTAGCAGTCATGTTCATCACAAAATTGGCTAGCAAAATGCTCCAGCACCATGGGTATTGTGGTGACAAAGCTGCAAGCTTGTCTGTCCCTACACCCACATTCAATGTCCTTTCATGGTGTGCAGAGCAGACGATCACCCAGAGCGTGTACCCACCATGTCACACCCCATATACTTCTGCTCAGTCTGGAAATGATACAGATCAATTTAACTTGTGTTGAAGTAAGGGCATGTTCAAAATGCTTTCTAAACAAGTTATACAGTGTAGCCAAAAATGATTTGTACACAGTGAAATCCCTCAATGGATTTTCTTGTTTCTTTGCACAATACACATATTTGTAACATTTTAGACAAAGTTTGTTCTCAAATATCCTCAGTTTCATTTCCATTTTTTCACAGTGTACAAATAATTCTTGGCTACACTGTAGCATTTATTTAGCACTGCAAAAACCATCTGACACTGAAGCTGACTGAAGTTGACTTGATTAGGAACAATATTAAATAGACATAGCGATTTGTAATGGCAGTTATTGGCCCATTTCCTTCAAATCTGAGCTGGATTGGTGGTTTTGAATTGATGCAGCTATACCATAGAGACTCAACCCAGATTCAGATTCTTTGTTAAAACCCTAGTTGTCAATGATTGACTAGGAATGGAAATATAGAATTATATTATACCAGACAGAAGCTTTAGAAGAGAATGGTTTTTTGTGTGTGAACATAGTTCACTTGTAAGGTGCTATTGTTGAACAGAGAATGTACTTTAAATATTTGATCTTGTTTCTGAGTTGTTTACTTGTCTTAAGGTCTACAGTGGCTTGTTTTATGTTTTTATTCTTTTAAGAGTTTTGAGTTTCTGAGTAATTTACCTAATCATATCAGGGAGTAAAACACTGTTTAAAATCTTAGGTGGTATCTGTTTGATTTCTGAGCATATGAAGTCGGCTGATATTATGGGCTGTCAGAACTGCCTGGGACACAAAGTGGGTCTAAAAAAGGAAATAAGTCAATCAGGAACAACAAGACCCAAACTTGGTCCCATCATTCAAACCAAGATAAGGTGTCTCAAGATAAGAAGATGAGAACTCTCCGAAGCTGGTCACCTCATCTTGTGTACTTTAAACATTATTCCAGATAAGTTTGCTCGCTATTTAATCAGGATTTAAGATGTAAGACTTCAAAGTCCAGGACTTGGATTAAAGAACAAAATCAGATTTGCATGCTTTATTTCTATCTCAGAAATTTGATAGAATTTTCTAGCGGAAATAGGCAGTTTGGATGGGAAAAGCAGAGGGCTTTCTATTGAGGTAGGAAGATGGACGACCGATTTCCTGGGAAATCTGGGGGGACGAGACTCACCCGTCTTGCTGGCGATGTGGGTGCAGGGGGGGCTGGAGCTCTGGGCGGAGAGGGCCTGGCGCGCCGAGGGAGCCACAGAGAGGACTTGGTTGAGGTTCTGGGGGTGCGTTTGGCTCTGGGCTAAGCAGGGCAGGCTGCGGCGGGACGGTCTCAGGGTCTTCTCCTTGATGATCTCACTGATACTGGTGTGCATAGCTGGCAAGAACAAGCAACACCAGCAGTGACTGATGGGAATGAGCCACTAACCAAGAGATGTTTCAGAATGCCTGTTCTAAGGAAAAATCCAGAGCTACCTTACTAATTTCTCCATTTTCAATACCTGCCTGTCTGGATGTCTATCCCAGAGACAATGGGTGCAAGACAGGGAATAACCCTGGACCCATCGTAGGGCACTCGCACCATTCACACACATTATTCACACTTGCACGATGCACAATTTGGCACCTCTGGTTCACCTGGGAAGTGGAGGGCCCTAAGGAAACCCCATAATGGCATAGGGAGAACATGCAAACTCCATAGACACACAGCCGGGCGCACGAATCAAACGCTGGTCTCCAGAGGTGTGAGGCAACAGTGCTAACCACTGCACCTCCATGCCTCCCTACATGACAAGCACCTTCAAGAAATGAGTAAACCAATAAATCAGTTATAAAGTTTCTGGCTGAGTAATGACATATGCTATTTCTGATATAGCTCATTATAAATGTCGGTACAAATATCGTTCTCGATTGAGGTTTTATTGGGCGGAAATGGAAAAATGCTCAGCAGTAGTGGGGTCAGTGTGCATGCTTGCTGTGTTTTATATCGACCTTATTAGAGAAGCTGGAGCCACGCTGGATGGAAATTCCTTAAGCTATATATGCATGTAACAGTGGCATTGTGACTGAATTCAGGTATTCTGCTCTTTAGGAAATACAACCCATTTCTTGTAACCTTTCAGAAAATATTTTCACATTTGGGCAGAGGATTCAAGCTTCTCACTCCTGTTTATTTGGACATGATGAGTCAGAGTGAGATGACAGGCAAACACTTTTGACTAAAGAGTCCATCAAAGCCTATATTGGGTCAAGAGCTGCTGTTAACAGTGATGGATTCCAGGCTGAACGATGATTCTCAGATAATGAAAACTCTTCTTTGACATTCAGATTAGGGTCTGAATGGTGATAATACTTTTTGTAAATGTAGGAACTCCTTTGTAGTTGCTATGTCATTCATGCATTTGCCTCACAGCCCCCCTTTCATAATACCAGTCTATAAAGCTCAGGTAAATCCAATTTACGAAAAAATATTATGGAAATAAGGACTTATGCTTGCCTTTCCCAAAGCTGTGTTTGAGCTTTCAAATATAATTAGAATTATAAATTACACAAATCACCTTTTTTCTCTTTTGAACTGGTATAAATATCCATCCATCCATCCATTTTCCAAACCGCTTATCCTTCTGGGTCGCGGGGGTCTGGAGCCTATCCCGGAAGCTACAGGCATGAGGCGGAACACAACCCAGGACGGGGGGCCAGTCCATCGCAGTGGTATAAATATTTACACTCAAAATAATTTAACCTACTCACTAAATAGCACAATTGCCCTGTGATCTTTTAACAGATAAATGGTTGTAAAATTGAAGGATGACAGTACAGAGTCAAGTGTCCAAAATCCAAAATCTTGGATTTCACAACAAAGGGTAATGCTTTACATTAGCTGAACTTTCACAATGCCTTTATAATGCATTCGTAGAATACTCAGTGACCCTTCATAATGCATTCATAGAACATTTCTAAACAGCATGGAACCATCCTAACATCCAACAGCTTTTGGACCATTAATTTGCTATTAATGTATATTGAAGCTGTTAAGGTATGTAAGCATGTTCAGGTATACTTACACGCTGCTTATGAATGTTCTAGAAATGCATTATGAAGGCATGTTAAATGCTCTATGAATGCATTATAAAGGCATTACGAAGGTGCAGTTAATGTAAACTGTTACCCAATAAAGTACCAGTCACTTTAGATTTACAGGTTTAATTAAGTAATGAAGGCACACGTGGGGGTGGGGGAGGGGGGGTGCTGCCAGAGCACCTGTCTGTTTTGCCCAAAATACTTAATGTGAACTTGTACTTGGGCTTTTAAGGTACTGGGTGCCCACTGTTTAACCATTGTGCACATGGGAAAAAAAAGGGAAATGAATAAAAAAACTATTGTGCATCTGCCCTGCAAGCAGTTTCTGCATAGGGAATTCTACACTGCAGCCGTTTGTAGGCAGATTATAAACCATAAAGAAGTGAAAAGAAAAAGCAGAGAGAAGAAAGCTGATATCACATTACCTTAATGAGAAACTCAATGGGGGACATTTCCAATTCAATGAGACAGCAACCCCCAGCTTTGCCTCCTGTTACTGATGTTTTCTTACTGTTTATTCATGCATTCGAGGGCCTTTCCTGAAGGCAGAGGCTTTATGTTTAATTGATTAGAAAAGGCACGATTACCATCTTCTATTTTTATCTTGCAGGTTTTGACGCAACTCTGCAGACGCTCTCCGCGCTGGCGGAAAAGGAGGATCGTATGCCAGGTGGAGCTTTCCGCCAGACAGGAGGGGAAGGCACCGTGCCGGCCCACTCTCTGCCGAGATGCATAATGCATGCACAGGCTCCTCGCTTTGAAGGGAACACACCCCGTCCACTGAGAATGAGGGCTTCACCCAGTTCCTCAAGCCACTCGCTATATCATTGCATCACACAAAAAAGAGGCCATCCTTTCTTCCCTTTCATTTATTTTGATCTGGTACGACAGGAAAATGCGACAACAATGTGCACAAACTGTAATGCATTCTTTTGTATCTTATTTATATTTAGAAATATGATTGATAAATGCATTCATGTTTTTGGAGCTCTGCACACAATGCTATGCAGACACCTAACTGTTAAGACGCATAGACAAACAGTAAAGCCATCAGATCACCCGTCAAATGCAAAATCATATATCGTCATATCATATGTCATATGTGGGTGTTTGATCATCTCACTGGGCACCAGCAGAGCCCCAGATGCTTCTCATTCCTACATTAAGTCTCAAAATGCTTGCATGGAACAGGAAGAAATCTATAGCAAATAATACAATAACATCTAAATAATGTGATGATAATGATGGTTACTATGATTGTTGTTGTTGTTGTTAACAATGACAATGACAGCAACAACAACAACAACAACAACAACAATAATAATGCTCACTCTGGTCTCTGTGGACCCACCTGCCAGCTTCCTGGTAAAATATCGACATCTGTATTTTTCTATGTATCTCCCCTGTCGCATATACACAGCAGGCTTTAAAAGTATTTGCGAGTGTATTGTCCATTTATATGTGTGTATATTTTATTATTGCATTAAGTCAGCAAGTACATAAGTAAGTAAACTTTATAATGCCTTTTAAAAACAACCATCATTGACCAAAGTGCTGTATTACTCTGTACAGCACTTTGGTCAATGACGGTTGTTTTTAAAAGGCATTTTAAAGTTTACTTACTTATGTACTTGAGTCAATAATGCAATAATAAAATATACACACATATAAATGGACAATACACTCGCAAATACTTTTAAAGCCTGCTCAACAGTTGAAGAGTAAGAATAAGCATTCAGTTCAGTTTTTGAATCAGAAATCGAATAGGAAGCCCTCATATGTGCCAGCAGGCTGTTCTAAACCATCGGTGCTGCTCCTGCAAAAGCACAGCGAGCCTGTTACCTTCTCATTTTACATACAGACTGCCTGATTTCCTAACTGACCCAATATTTACTCATACTCATTGACTTTATTGACATATAGTGATATCCTCCTGAGACCCGACCTATTCATTTATGTCCATTGTAGTGGACATTGTATTTTTGCATTTATTTTTTCACTGATGTTGAGAAACATATTTATTCTTGTTGTGCACTAAAGAGGACATGCTGTGAAATTAAAATAAGAATAAATTTGAAAAAATCTAAATTGTAAGATGTCTTATTTCCTCCAAAGACAAATAACCTACAATTGAAGGACACTTTTTTCCTTGGGTCTCAGGAGGATATATTACATTACAGTTACACAGCTTACAAAACAGTATAATGAAACAGGGAGGGTACAGTGGCTCAGTGCTTATCTCTGGGGTTGTACTGTAGGTTAGAATTCCTGTCCTCGGATGCGTGTGGCGTTTGCATGGTCTCCTCATGTTTGTGAGGTACCTTCCCATCAATCCAGACTCCTCCAGCAGTCCAAAAGCTGCTGATTGGCTGAAATTGGGTCTCTGAATTGCCCGAGGTGTGTAACTGTGTGTGAGTGTCGACCCAGCGATGGACTGGCATCCCATCCAGGGAGACCCTGGCCTAGTGTCACCGTTTTCTTGGGAGAGGATCCAGGCTTCACATGACCCTGTACTGATTTAAGCGATTGTGGAAAATGGAAGGATTTAGAAAACGTTCGGATTTCAGCAAAAAACTATCTTCTGCAATACTGTAATTTCACAAAAAAATGATGCATATCCACATAAAATTTTTGTTTGTCCTATAATTTTTTCTAGCACTATATAAGACCTGGCTGAGATTTCATGGCAGTTTGGCCTCTTTGAGCAGACGCTCCCACACTGCATAAATTGCTCATCTCAGACAACACTGGTCACACTGCCAGAGTTATTCACTGGGAGACATTATTGTGTCAAACGTCATTCGTTCCCATTGTAAGCTCCGACGTGATTGGTGTGGCTTACTGATAAATCCCACCTGCCAATTCAAACCCAAGAGAGTTATAACTCCTCTCAATAGGCCTGTCTGGGCCACCCACTCCTATACCAAGGGCTAATTCGGAGTTCACTACGCCAGCGTGGCATCTCACCATTACATTCTTCCTGGAACATCCCCAATTCTTCACCCTTATAATAATCCTGGAGGCATGCAGAATGTTATTTGACTCACTAAATAGTAGAAACAGATACCCAGTCTATTCTATCACTCACAATCCATTATTGGATGACTCACAAGCATTAATCATCACCTCCAGTTTTTGATTTCAGGTAGATAATGAGGAAAAATGGTACCAGAGCTATTAAGTTTTCTGTTTCATACTGGTCTAATTATCATCCATTTATCTACCAGATCAAAGCACTTCACACATACATAATCATAATGACAATTTCATTTTTATATTTTTATATTCATAATGTAA